ACTCAGTTATTCCACACACTAGAGTTCAGAGTGCAACTGCTTTTCATTCTTCTTCCTCTTGAAAGATGACAGCTGTCACTATGTGCCTGCCCTACTGTGCTGTCGTCTGCTGTTGTTTGAATCTTAACTACTGTGGAAATACTTGGTACCAAGCTTGGTTCTATTAAACTCAGAAGGCATCTGTAAGAGGTATGGCCTTGTGGGAGGTTTCAGGTCATCAGGAAAATACCCTCTAAGGGTAGTAAAGTGTCAGGTGCTTCTTTCACTTTGCTTCATGCATTCTATAAGGTGAGTATCCCTCTCTGCCATGCATGTCTCACTATCATACACTGACTTATCAGGGAGAATATCAGTGGTGTTACACATGATGGATTGAGCTTTTTAAAACTGAGTCGAAATATTCTCTCTTGTTATGTTCATTATCTTAGATACTTTACTACTGCAATGAAAAGCTAACATATCCAATCATCGACAATTTTCATAGTCATGAGTGTTTAGTAGTTAATATAAATATTTGTCGAGAACCCATCATCTGGCAGAAGAAATTGTGAATAATAAAAGAGGTAATATCCGGAATCTGAATAGGACACCTATATCAAAATTCAGCCACCCAAGGCTCAGGGACCATTTTGGGCTGGGATTAGAAAGATTGTAAGGGCCAGAGGTGGTAGGTGTCATCTTTCAATAGGAGAAAGAATTAAAGGGAGTTGCACCCTGGACTCTAGTGCATAGAATAACTGTGCAACTAAATTATAATGTCACTTAGTACACCATTAAATCGATTCAACACAAGGAAACAGTGTTTTTCAGACAGCTTGGAAATTGCTCACACAACTGTTACAGCAATGTTACATAAATGGTAACAGCACACACAAAACACATACAAGCTCAAGCCAGACCAAAGACCAGGGTATAAGTAGAGAAATAGGAAAGAAGCTCCAGATATAGCCAAGGAGCTACTGGCAACCAATAACTACTGGGAGAGGGAGAGTCAGTCTTTAGGGGTTTGATGCTAGATAGGTTGACCAGGCCCTAGTGGATAGAGCACACTGAAGGACATTTTGGGACACAAATTTGGCTCAATAGGCCTTAACATATATGACAGAGTGCATGAAACCTGGCAGTGTTGTAGAGAGGAGACTTTTTTCCCCTTTCTTAAAATTAAATTTTGTAATTTTCATGCATTAGAGTTTAATGGTATTTAGATCCCCTTCCATAGTTGCACCTTCCCCCATTGCCCCCTGCCCAGTTCTATAGACTCTGATTTGTGTCTCCAAATATCCTTCAGTGTGGATCCATTTACTGGACCCACCAAGAGTTCCATCCTTGTAAGACACTCTTTCCTCCTCCTAGCAGACATCAATTGACACAAATTTCTTAGGTTGGGTTGGGATCTTTTACCTATTTCCCCATAATTATGCTGGGGTTTTGTCATGGTTGAGCTTATATAAAATTTTTGGGAACTGTAAATATTATGAGTTCATATGAGAACTGACCAGCTGTCTGAAAGACTCTGTTTCCTTTACATCATCGACACCTTCTGGCTCTTAGAACATTTCTGTCTTCCCTTTTGCAGTGATCCCTGAGCATTGAGAGGCAGAGGATTTTTAAAAAGGTGTTTTATTCAGAGATAAGCATTCTGTGGCCTCTTGTTCTCTGAGATGAAAGGTGCATTCATTGTACATGTAGAGAGTGCATTGAGATGAGGCACTTTGGTTTAAGCATCTCAGAGACACTTATTCTCTATCTTTGATCAGTTCTGTAAGTCTCCACTTGTGGCACAAAGAAGCTTCTTTGAGGAGGGGTGAAAGGTGCACTATCTGTAAATATTACAATGTATATTTAGAATAAAAAACTCACATTGTTTTAGAGATCTTGCAAAAGTAGGTTTTTCTCTAAGATCTCTGACCTCTCCAGCCATAAGTATTTGGCTGTTTATAGTAGCACATATGAGTTCCCTGTCATTGAGCATGACTTAATTCCAGTTAAACAGCTACTGATTACTCCCAAGATAAAAGTGTAAGATTCAAGCCCTTTAGGCTTATTAATCTTCCATCACTAGAAACTAGTTTATTATTACCATATACAATAGAATTCAACTATACTTGTAGCTGTGCAAACTGAGTGGTTCTTAGGTGACTCCACCAAGTGAATTTTGGATCTCAAGTTGGCTAGGAAAGAATTGCAGGCAGCATCAAACTGAAATGAAATTAGGGAGGTTGTTAATTAACTATAAGGACAGACACATTGATAATAATTAAGTGAGGTTACTAGGGGAGGAATGCATCTAAGTGTGGTAGCAGTGACTATATATTGTAGTTGCAGCTTTTGTAGTTACAGTAGTTAAAGGAGGTAATAGACACTTATGGCGAAGGACAAGGCTAAATACTTTCATCTACTCACTTCGTTATTATAAATAGCTTTTTGTGAGTACTGCATGATTTACCTATGAGGAAGAAATGTGGATATGAAAAAAATAAATAGGTCAGAAATAAGTCAAAATAATAGAAGTCATGTTCTAGACACAAGCCCCTCAAAGAGACTGGAGCACATTTTGATCCTTAGCATGATGCACTAGCCATTTTAATAAACTTCCTTGTGGTACTTTCAGGGCAGATGTACAATTTTAATGTAGTTTCTTCATAGGTCAGTCTCCAGTTATCTGCCAAATTTTTGACACATTCATCAGCAGAGACATATGTGGTCTAGTTTGAGGGAAGGCACTCTTTTCCTTTCCCACGTGCCCTTACATTTCTATATTCCCATTCTGCTTTACTTTTAAGAATTCATTCATATTCATAATAAAATTTAAAATATAACAACAGTAATATACTATGAACATCAGTTAACAGAAAGTATTGCAAAATTAGTTATCAAAAAAGAAGCAAAACCATAATTCTTTTTTTAATATTTATATTTTTATTTTATGAGTTTGCACGTATTGCCTGCATGTAAGTAAGTGCACCCATGTCATGAAATGCCTGCAGAGGACGGAAGAGGCTGTTGGATTCCCTGGAACTGGAGTTATGGACAGTTGTTAGCTGCCATGTGGGTGCTGGGATTTGAACCCGGGACTTCTGCAAGAACAACCAATGTTCTTAACCATTGAGCCATCTCTCTAGCCCCCAAAACCATAATTCTTAGTATATGAAAAAAATAAATGAAAATCTGTGAAGAAATAAAGTTCATAATGTAATCGGGAATTCATTTATAATGCAGCAACACCCTGGGGCTGGGTAGATGGCTCAATGTTTAAGTGCACTGGCTGATCTTGTCGAGGACCTGGGTTTAATTCCCAGCACCCACATGGCAGCTAACAACCATCCCTATCTCCAGTTCTAATGGAATCTGAAACCCTTTTCTGACTTCTGTGGGACTGCACAATATGGGTGCACTTATATACATTCAGGCAATACACTCATACACATGAAAATAATAAATACAATATGTTAAAAAAGCAACATCATGGAAATCATGTTATACTTAATGCATGAAATGCTCTTTGTAATGAAACCTAAGAATATTTTATACATTGGCATCAATGTATAATGACATTTTGATGACCTATTTAGCAGATTAGCCCTTATTGAGAAGTAATATAAAATAATATCATTTTCCTCTTGTATATATGTGGATATTTTGGGACGCATTTCACAGTAGAACAATAAAATTCCAGAAAGATAAAATAAAAAAAAAAAAAACCTTAATGCGTGTGGTTTGGTTTTGTTTTTTGAAATCTGGAAATTTTCTTTATTCATAGTCATCTTCAAAGTCAGGGAATTTTCTTTTCCAGTCCATAAACTTCCCCAGTTATCTAATGATTAGCCAGCAGATGCTCAGAAAAGAACAAGGAAGGGAGCAGTGAATTGGGAAAACCCAGTGTTGGACAAGTAGGTGAATTTCTCTATGCCACATGGTTTTAGTTAAGTGACAAGCCTTATTTGGGAAAATTACAAACCCGAGTGAGTGAACAAATGAAGGCCTCAGTCTCCCCCTCCTTCTCTTAGCTCTCAGAGAATCATTTGGGCCCAGATACTGGTAGACACATGTGGGGTCCTTCAAAGAAAGAATTCCATCCTTTTGATGTTTCTCTTAATTTCTTAGTAGTTCATCTTTCTGGATAAACAGAGAATTGAACTCCCGTTAACCTGAGATTAGATGCCATAAGAGTTGGCTTGTAAAACTGTATGCCTAACCATGTGAAGACCTTAGAGATGAGGGGAAGAACAGCCTTCTCTGATCCTGGAGAAACTAAGTTCAGGTGCAAGCCAGGAGAGGTGACTTTCCTACAATCCAGCCTTTTCCAGGCTGGCATATCATCCAGGCATCACAGAGAGGAAAGACCATCACCTGCAGATGTACTGGATCATTCAAACACATTCACTGAAACTTGGATTTCATAACTAATTCCTTGACCTCCTCTCAAATGCAAAAGCCTTTTGATTTCAAAGTATTAATTATAAATGATTAGCTTAAATCAATTTGAACAATAATAAAAAGGGATTTGATGGACTGAATCATAATAAAGTTTCTTAAAATTTTTTTTTGTCATTTTAATTTCTTTTACTATTTTTAAGCTTTCAAAAAAAGCTCCCCGAACACTTCAATTTGGCAGGTACAGCTTCAGCGCTGGGCTAATGAACACTTCTTCCCTCCTCCCACTGATGTCCATCCTGGTCCTCAGCAGAGACTGACACTTTGATGGGCACTCCTTTCAGGAATAAAAAGTTCAAACAACTAAGAGTTGATAGTTGAACATTGAAAAATGGTGACTGCCAAGGTTTGCAAAAGAGTTAGTGAAATCATATAAACAATCACAGTGGAGGAGGGTGACAAAAACAATTCATAGAATAAATCTAGCATTTTCCAGATCCATGCAGAAATAACTGCTTAAAGCAACATATTTGTGAGAATCCTGGTTTAAATGCCTTCAACCCCTCCTGCCTGAGCTAGGTAGGAACATTGGTAGAAAGGCAGAGTTGCCAATCAGGTGGATGCTGTTACAGCAAGAGCCTATGCAACACCTCCCATACCATCCTCTTCCTGAAGACAGGCATGTGTTGCTGAGAAAAGGTTAGAGGTTGATCCCGAGAGATATAATCTGCATATTTACAAGTGAACATTCCACAGTCACTCCCGTTCATCTGTTGAGGGATTTCCTCTGCTGTCATGCTAAATTGCTTCCACTCCAAAGGGTTCAGATCAATATTCCTCCGAGTTTTGCTCTCATTTTGCAAATATTGGAAAATTATTTTGCAGATACTCTCTCCTTTCTGTCCCATTGAATCCAAGTATACAATGCTCTTTTTTCTGAGGTCTATGACCACCAGGCTCCAATGCACCTTCCGATGAATAGGTACCAGAATCAGTTCTTTTGCAAAGAGATTTACTCCCCGAGTCCATCTTTTGACAGAACTATAACCCCCATACTTTAATTTGGGGTAAAAAAAAGTGTTAAACACATGAAGTTCTGGATAGCCTTGACTTTGACTTCTTTCCACTAGAAGATTCATGTAGAAGTTAATAACTTCATCGTTGAGCCATTGACCATCCTCCAGTGTCTGGATGTCTCTTCGAGTAATTTGCAATTTGAATGCACTACTTAGGATTTCGTCTTGTGGCCCTGGGCCTAGTGCATCACTGATTTCCTTCTCCATGTCCTCTGTAACATCAAGGACATCATCATTCACTGCTCTGCCCTTTTCCTGGTCTGCAAGGGGCTCTTCCTCTGTTTCAGGTATTGACATTTTGTTGGTAAGTAGGCCATTGCTATCTCCAGCCAGAAAGATTTGGGCTGGAGCTCCCCACAGTAAGTCAGGAGCCAAGTGCTGTCTACTCTTTTCTTCA